TTCATGCATTTTATTGCTCACTTTTTCTTACATAGAGGGTCACATCTCCAAAGATCTGACCTATAACTTGACAAAATGATATCACCCGCTTGTCTCCTGGAGGTAGATGTGTTTATAAATGCCATACTGTACATTCTTGACAAAACATTAACATCTCAATGGAAACAAACAGATTACAAGAAAAGTTATAGTGCAACTTTAAGATTCTGATCAAAATCCTACATAGTTTTCTCTAATTTGACATTTTTTGTGCCGTTTACTTTAGTTTAGTTTATAATTTTGCTTCCTGGTTGAACATGGGCAGTATATGTGAGGGTATAGCAGGTTAGTACATGACTGTTACCAAGCAAACACTATGTAAAAATAAAAGCTAATACACACAATAGTTATTATTTGGCAGCTAAAAATGTATTTAAGTAAATAAATAAATCAAAAAGTTTCTATATATACATTTTGGTTGGAATTTACACTTTAATCTTAACTGTCACTCCCTCATGGGCCTTCCTTGTTTCTGCATGCTGCCTAAATATACACTGTAGTTTATTAATGTCATTTGTTTGGCTTGTCTAATATTTTGATCAAATAATCCAGAATTTCACAACTTTCCAAAAGAAGCATCTGTTCTGAATAAAGAGTTGATTCATTTGGGGAAAAAAAATTTGTTCATATTCTTTCGTCCAGTGCCATTTCTTAAATGCTCTGATCAGAAAATCCAAGTTCCTCTTGCCAAAGCACATTGGGGTGTGATCCATATTTCCAAACCCTTACTGTAAAATGATGTGCCATGGTATTCAATTAGAATTAAGCATTTCTATTTACCTGTCCAGCCAAAATCACTTGCTTTGGCAAAAATGATTTTTTCCCATGTAGTTAAGCAAGATTTGTTTGCCCCAGTACAGATTTTTGAGAATCAGGAATTGTTTGTTAGCATGCTAGTTGTTCTATTTACTCCTTCATTCCAAAACTGGTCCCTGAAATTTATAAACAGCCCTTAAAGGGAAAGTCCATTTCCTAGTTAGTGCTGGAGATGAGTGGAGACACTTTTAAATATTCCCTCCAGTCCTTGTATTTGCAGAGGTCGCTGATGCTAGGCTAGTGCATGTCAATGGCCATAGTTAGCCTGCCACGAAAAACAATCTCACCCAATCCACAAAGCACCTGAAGCCAATTTATTATTATGCCACACTGTCAATGTAAATGTCTGTGTAGATAGAATAATTTTAGAAGTAAAACCAACCTTGCATTTGAAGGATTTATGTCTGAGCTGCAGCAGTGAGTTGTATTTCCTGATAGAAAGCTTGACAGTGGCGGACTGATATCATCTAGCATCTGTCTTACCGGCAAAGTAAAATTCCGCTGCTGTTGAGAAAATAGTCCCTCGACTTGCGACGATTCATGTGATGCAAGGTTAGTTTTATTTCAAACAGTCTGGTGACAGTCTGGTGTAATGATAGATTTGTTTTGGGTGTTTTGTGGAGTGGGTAAGACTGTTTTAAGTGGCAGGGTAACTATGGACATTGACATGCACTAGCCTAGCACCAGCGACCTCTACAAATACAAGGACTGGATGGAATATTTCAAAAAGTGTCTCCACACGTCTCCAACACTCTGGCTCACTAGGAAATTAGGCCCTATGTCCAAAATTCTGAACTGTCCCTTTAAAAATTCATTATGGTGAATAATTAGGTAAGTGAGAATTTTGTCCTCTGCAAGTCTCATATCCTGAAGACAGTAAAAATCAGATACAGTGCTTTTAAAACAAAACACCTAAACGCAAACACTTGAACTCAATATTAGTAGATACTTTATTTCTAGAGTAGAATAACATTTTAAATTTATTAAAGGTGCATTATGTAACTCTTCTGGTGGAGGGTCTGTCACCTGCTTTTGTCCATGTAGATGTTATTTCTTTGTCTGGAATGTTTCACAGTATGGCATTAAACCTTTCTATCTTCACAGAGACCAAACCAGATCAAGTTACAGGTCAGCTCTGTGGCGAGACTGTCAGAATGCATGTTTTTCTATGAGCAAAAAAAAACCCATCTGTAATTGAATAAATAAAGTAGAGCTGTTTAATGTCATACTGTGCAAAGTTCCAAGCAGAGAAATGACATATCCATAAAAAGAAGCAGATGACAGACCCCCAACAAAAAAGTTGCACAGTGCACCTTTAAACTTAAAAAATAATTAAATAAAAATTACAGCTCCAAAATCAGACGCAGATGTTTGTCCTATTTACAAAAAGTATGAGGGGGCCTAGAGTGTGAATTTGAGCTTTGCCAAACGACTGTTAATTTTACAGCCAGACTTTAAAACAGCGCAAACCAGCGGAAAACACACAGCCAAAATACCACTTCAAATGCACTTCATAATTTCAGAATTTTAAACCAAAATAGCCACTTTTATGTTCTTTGAAGCTTCACTGTGTCTAGATTTAACGAGTCGCAGATTGGCAAAACTTTGATAAATAATAAATCAAATCAATAATTATCTATTTTCAAATTTAGCATTTCATGAATAATTCAGTTCATATTTGATAAACTGTGTACATTTGCATTAGTTATGTTTTACCACATGCAGACAAAAGTATCGGCCACTAACAATGGGGTAAATCTGTTTCTTAGAGGAAAACTTGGAAGGACAATGAAGCTCAGCAATGACCTGCTCTGCTTCTGAAAGTACATTTTCCATTTATTTTCCCAATACACTTTTCCAAAAAATCTAATATTAAGAGTTCAAAGACATCGCGGAGGCTAATCAGCTTGTGCCAACTCATATCCATAACGCGCTTGTTTTAATGTGGTTGTTCAGGGCAACAGTAGCTCAGCTGGCACTGTTTGTCCACTGATCCAAAGGTTGGCGATGCGATTCCAGTTCCTGCAGATGAATGCTGTTGTTGTGTCCTTGGGCAAGACACTTAACCCCCTTGGCTCCCAGTGTCTGTGTACACTGGTGTATGAGTGCGTGTGAATGGGTGAGTGGTTCCTTGATGTAAAGCGCTTTGGTGCCTTGAAGGTGGAAAAGCGCTGTATTACCATTTAAATCCAAAAACATGTTTAAAACACAAGATTCTTTGAAATGTTTTAATAACTTTGTGGTTAAAAAGTTGTAGAAAAATACTTAAAATGATAAGTTTTGTGCTCATTAGTCACCATGTAGCTGATTAGCCCTGCGCAAGAATAAACAGGGTGTGGGCGGTCACTGTTGAGCTCCATATAGCCCATTTAATGCAAACAGAATCATTTGGGATTTGGTCACCGATTAGTGCAAAATGTAAATTTTGGGGGGAGCAAAGAAAGGAGAGACTAACTATACTTTTTTTGGGTTGATTTTTACCCATGTATTTATCCTTGTATTGTGTAGCTACAATTCTAGGCACTTGTATTCGAGCTACAGAACACAAACCCCATTGTCCCAGTGCACAGTTGTCCCACCTCTGTCTCTGCTCCTTTCTGCAAACCCATTCGTAGCTGCACTGCACTGCCGACTCTAACTGGTCACAGTAAAGTCAACATGGAGTTTGAGGTTTAAAACAATGTATTCATCTTTAAACAGTTAAATGATGATGAGCTATAAGCCATGTTATCATGCTGTTACCTCCTCGACAACATACCCAGAGTTGTGTTATGTTTCATTCCCATATTTGAGTAACTCTTTAGTATTAGTCTGATTACATGTCCAAAGCACAAAATGCTCTGTTCCATCTTGTGATGTCATGATAGTTTTCAAGTTTTACCTTTAGTTCACTAGAGATTGGCATTTTCAGAGCTGAAATCATTGGAATGATTCCAGTGAAGGTGTATGGAGTTTAAAAACACAGTAGAGCACTTTCTGTATTACCACATGACATGAAGGTGGAACAGAGTGTTTTCTGTTTGAGAAGAGCCTAAATATGCAGGGTTTGTGTGTTAAACATATGTGAATAAAACAAACAAAACTCCAGGTCTGTTTGTGGTGAGGAAATATTATAACATAGATGAGAAAATTGTGAAATCTGGGCCCTTTAAAATTGCGAAAATAAAATAGGCCTATCTGATACTTTGACTTGCTCATGTAGCCTCTATACTTTTACTTAATTACAATTTAGGCAGTAGAGTGAAGGCTATCGAGCACATTTTTAGTTATATAATTGTGTAACTTACAGATTTTCAGTACTCTTCCACCGCTGGTATTAATAATGTAGATGTACATAATCTGGTCTACTGAGCATTTCGCGCAACATCTCCCCTGATTGGTCTTTGTCGGAGCTTTGTGCGTGTACACTGGCCCCGTATTCCGCCTGCCGTGCGCTCGCAGACAGCCCGGTGCTGTTGTGGAGGGAGGGGAGTGACTGAATCCGTGCGCTCGTCCAATTACACGGAGGCAGCAGCAGCAGAGCCACTTCTTTTCACTTCTTTCCCTTCAGCTTAAGTGGCTCCAAACCTTCCGAGACGCACACACACGCACGAACTTGCGACGCACACACGTACACGTACGCGCACATGCCGGTCTCGTAGTGGAACGGGGAGCTGCGTCGCGATAGGAGGAGAGCCGCTGCCCATGTGACACGTGCGCAAAGACAAAGGTAGATTTCTGTGCCTCTGTCAAACGGCGTGCTTGGATCAGACGCGCGCGGGGGGAAGATGCTCCAGCTCCAAAACCAACGGGGATTTTTGACGCTCGGAGCTGCGTGCGTGTATAGTAAATGATTCATGAGGTTTCTTTTAAAGCGCGAGGACTCGACTTGGAGGAGTAGAAACCAGTGAGAGAAAGAAAGAATAGTGGAGTTTGGTTCCGAGAGGTTTTTATCAACTGTTGCTGCGGACACGTTGAGTGATATTGTCGTGCGTAAGAGCGAGGCATCATGGAAGAGATTTTGAAGAAAGCGGTTTGGATACGCGTTCCCCTGCCCTGACGTGGTGGAGAATATCCCACAATTGAACAGATTTATAACGTGTGAACAATACAATAAGGACGCAGTTGTTTTCGGGCGTTTTGTGACAGTGACCTTGCCTCACACCATGCTCATGATGATGGAGAGCGGAGCGATGGGCGCGCACTCGGAATTCGACGCTCTCTCGCACTCGCAGCCGTGCGCTTGGCCGCTCCTGGACGAGGCCACCCGGGGTCTGCAGGGTCTGGCCACGGTCAAGCTGGAGCCGCCGGACCACCTCAGCTACGACGTGCCCTCCTCGTGCAGTCGCGCCGAGCGGAAAGGCGGCGCGCCGGCAGACATCAAGCCGCCCATAGTGGCTTCGGCTCCGGCCACAGCATCGTGCATGTCCGCTGTGGCCGCGCTGGACGTGGCCGGTCAGCTGCGTAAAGCCAAGTCGTCCCGGCGGAACGCGTGGGGGAACCTGTCGTACGCGGACCTGATCACACGCGCCATTGAGAGCACTCCGGAGAAGAGGCTGACGCTCTCGCAGATCTACGACTGGATGGTGCGCTTTGTGCCGTATTTCAAGGATAAAGGAGACAGCAACAGTTCCGCCGGCTGGAAGGTAAGGGTGCACGTGAGGCTGTCTGACTGTCGCACGCACGCACACACGAACAGGTTAATTACAGTGGACAAGAGGCGCACGTCCCCAATGACCAATCCACAATCAAACCGAATAACCCTTAGCACTAACAATAAGAATTCTTCTAATATGATCATACGAAGTCACACGCTTTATCTTTGTTCTGCGTAAATCCGGAGAGACGAATGCCAGGCTCATGTAGTGTGGACAAAATGGACATGTCCACAGTATGAATTATGAAATGAGTTATAAGCTTCTGTATTCTTCAGAAGAATACAACGTCTTACACAATGTTTATGACAACTAAAACACAGGCTATATTTTAAACTATATTTGGTTCTCAATGAAATGATTCCCATTCAACGATCTTCTACATAAGCACGTTCTGTTCCAAAGTTTATAATGCATTTTAATAAGACTTTGGTAACATCAGGACGTTGCACTTGCATGTGAAAACAAACTGTCAACCTGTTAAGCTGATTATTTTATCAGGTAAATCTACGTCTGTACCATTTTCCATCTTGAGAACTTAAATACTTTAAATGCAAATTACAACGAAAATCTGGCTTTGATTTTGAATATTAAAGACTTCATTTTGCCTTAGTTAAATCAGGAACAGATTGTACTCCTCATGAACTAACTTTGATTACACGCATATGATGTAATGTAGTTATTAAAATTAATTTGTCAACATTATATATTCATTTGTTGTGTCAGATATCTCAAATCATATCATCGAATGGCCTTTTTTCATAGCCGCTACACTGTCTTCTACTTTTCCAGTCTATAGGGAAAAGAAATAGACTTTATGGACATATGTTTTCAATGACTGTCAGAGTAAAATTAATTCTGGGTGACCTAGAATGACATTTCTTCTGTCAGAGGTACCATTTCAAGTAAAAAAGTGTTCTAAACTTGCCAGAAATAGTTGTCTCTCAATTCGTTGATTCTGCAAACTCTTAAGTGGTTTTGTCATGTGTTTCTGATATCAATGTGAATAACTATGTTTATTTGATTTATTTTTTAAATTTAAGAACAGATGCGCACAATATTTTAACATTTCAATACTCCGAAGTCATCATCTAAGACACTATTTTTGATTTCAACGTAAAGGTGCAGTGTGGAACTTTTATTTTGGAGGGGCTGCCACCTCATTGTCTTCATGGATGTGTTATTGCTTTGCTTGAAATGTTCCAGAATATGGCTTTAAACTTACCTTACTTAATGGAGACAAGTGGAGAACAACAATAGGCCAAGTGACAGGCCAGATCACATTTTTTCATGGTATTTTTCAGCAATCTGTAACAAATGCAAGAAAGAAAAGAGAAGTTTAACGCCAGATTGTAAAACACTCCAGGCAAGATACTAACATCACCAAGTTGATGACGGGCTCTCCACCAAAAAAGTTACATATTGCACCTTTAAAAAACATCACGCTTTCAACATTGCACTCATTCCACTCTGCTATTTGGACGCTAAACTGCATTAGAGTGAATGGAAGCCTATATTTAGTCTTGGCCTGCTGTCTCTTCCTACTATCATTTAGCATAGTTGTTGGCTACATAATGCAGGCCTTTGGAGGTATGGAGCGTGTGTGCGTGCTGTGTCCCGGTGTGACCAGGCCTGTGAATGTCTCCAAAGGTTCAATGGGTTCAGCTTCAGCTCCTTTAGCGTGAGGAGAGCGCAAGCCACAAGAAAGAAAAGGAGAAAAAAAAAGAAAAGAAACACTCCTCTCTCTGTCTGTTTCGTGCTCTGTCGCTTTCGCCAAGTCTTCCGATGCATTCCTTAAAGGTCCTGTACCCGATTTATTTCAAAATTGTTTTGTATTCCGGTACAGATATATTGTTTTAGGAGTGTTGCGTGGTGTCCGCTTCGAATTAGAAAGCGTTTTATTGTTTGATGATCAGGAAGTGCACATTAGCATGCTAGTTGTCACGTCCAAAAACTCCGGTCTCCGAAAGTTGCGAGAAGCACTTATAAACTCATTCCGGTTGAAATTTAAGACGCTCGGAATGCATAAGGTAAGTGAGGAATAACTTTGGATCAATGCAAAGTAAAACGAACTAGCTCTGTTTTTTCTGTTTTTAAGCTGGTAAAAATCAGGTACTGTGCCTTTAAATTGTGCTTAAGGGTTAGGGTAGGGACAAAATTATTGTTGTTCAACATCCGTCATTACGTAACCTTATCAACATGGAACAATGAACTTGATTTTAGACATTGCGTAATATCAGAGACTAACTGGCCTATTGTCCATTCCTTAAATTAGATTGAACAGAATATTTCTGTTTGCGACGTTTGACCAAGAAAATAATATAATACTTGCATGACCGCTAAACAGTTTCTCAGTTACCCGCAAGAAAGAAAGGAGAAAAAAAAAAAAAAAGAAAGAAGAGAAAGAAATATTACTCTGTTTTCATGCTGTCTCTTTTTCCAAACTATTCCGATGCATTCCTTAAATTTTCTGACCGGAGCGTTTGTGGGTCAGGGCAGAGACAGGGCAAGCCTCGGAGATTCCTGACCCCAGCGTCACCCTGTCTTCACTTGGCCCTGATCTCGGGATTAATCATTGCAGAAAAAGAGGAAAAGAAAAGGAAAACATCATAAACCACTGTCACTTCATGGCTGATAATAACACGGGTAACAGGGGTGTTCAAATGGGGTGGGAAAATGGGGCGCAATATAGGGTGCCCTTTTTTGTGTGTGTGTTTATCTTGTTTTGTCAAAATGTAGGGAGAGTAAAGTCAAGCGTTAGTAGGCACTAACGCTTAACTTTTTCACTTTTTTGTTATGAAAATTATGATTATTTATATATGTTGTTGTAGAAATTGGTTTAAGCAAGTGCAATTACACAATCCGCAATCACAATAAAACAAAAATAGATGTCATCACTTAGTTTATAATACATACATTTTTATTCCTGTCTTGTTTTTCTTAAGGATGTATAGAATAAATGTGCATCTATGGAGAAAACAATTACCAGAGTTTTTTTTTTTTAAATCTTGATATTTGACTTGATTTTATTTTGTCTTTTCAAAAATACAACTGAAATTTGAATGTGTGCTATTTAAAGAACAAACAAACAAACAAGAAAACAAAATCGATTATATGTTTAGACATCACAGACTCACAATCTTTCAATCTTTTACAATTTAATTAATCAACTGTTATTGCTAGACATGTTGTAAAAGTACAAGTACATTTTTGGGGTACGTTTTTTGGTATTAATGTATGTACTTATGTTTACCACCTTCTGAAAACTGACAGTGCATTTAACAAATTTAACAAAACAAAACAAACTAAAAAGAGTAAAACTGTAAAATTAAACTTTATTTACTCTTATTTATTATGACTTACATCCCACTTCCTGTCATTTCTACACAGTTTACCTCTAATGGACAATTTTCAAAGAACAAAAACAAACAGCACGACTCGGGTGTCAAGGCCAACAGATGTAACTCCAGATTATCCCTTAAACTCAAATTAATATGAGGTTAATCTAATAGATGACTGCCGGTAATCCCTTTAGCTTTACCACTACCCATTCTGCTCCTGCTGCTGTTACTGGATTAGGCTCTTTGTTTCCCATCTTGACTGTGCTCCGAGCTCGCATGGGAAAGTTGAGTTCCCCTGGTGTTCTTGCACTAAAGCACTTATTCCAGTGTCCGGTGCCAAAAACACTCACCGCCAGCTTCAATCAAGGCCCTATCGTAATAAACTGAGCGCTAACAGATGAGCTAATCGCGTAGCCGTCGTAAAAGCAAATAGGTGAGTTTACAGTAGTTTACAATGAAATAAAAATGCGTGCTAACTGATGTAGATGGCGCAATTGTTGTGGAGTGGAGTTTTGGCGATGTGTTCAGGGTTAGGCGAAAATTGGAATCTGCGCTGGTTTCCATTTCAAGGGGGGTTTGTACAATTTAACTACTTATTGTCGGAACGTTACAAACACAAAACCTGCACTTAACGACAGTGGATCAGTAGTTAAGAGCACTTGTCCAACCAACCTGAAGGTTAGAGGCTTGATTCCTACTTGGACCGAGTTATATCACTTTGTCCTTAGGCAAGACACTTCAGTGAATGAATGTATGAATGTGATGGGTGCATAAATGATTGGTGGTGGTCGCAGGAGGACGATGGCGTATTCATAATTTAACAGATGTGAAAAACTGTGCTATAAAAGCCAATATTTTCGACCTAAAGTGTGTACAGTTTGCTCCTGTTCCATGTCAAATGATGTCAGAATTGTTGGATTAACCCCATACAAAGAACTCTCTGTAAAGCTCCTAAAATTTCTAAAAACACTATACTAATTTGTCTCTGTCTCAAAAATTGTAACTTAACCAGGACATTGGGTTTTTTAAAATAAAAAAAAATAAGGCAAAATATTATTGTTCAACTCATTACGCGAACTTATATTTTTATCAGAATTTAGAGATTGCATCAAGTAACTCATAAATGGACTAATCTCCGTAGTCTATATCAAATTAAATCATTATCATTTTGATCGAACCATTGAAAAGATTGTAGTGTAATTATACAAGATATTTAGCATATTCCCACTTGCTTGATCACTACAACAGATTTAGTTAGCCTTATTAAAAGCGACATGTACCAAACCCATCATTAGATCCCTTACTCGCTCAGTCCCTATGGAAGGCCTCACCAGGGAGTGCTTCGTTTAAAGACAGCACCTGTGTACCGCGGAAAAAGTTCCCATGACAACAATGAATACAAATCGTTCCATGTCTCCTGTCACTTTAATTATATTGTAATTAACCAGTATGGAACCATGTTTAATAGCTTAAAATTACTTTTAAGTTTTGAAAGCATTAGCCTACGATACAAAAAATGAACTGCAAACCCCTATGACTTTTTAAAATGGCACTTATCTGTTTTTTGTTGTTGTTGTTATATATTGTTAAATTATAATTACAATTTGATTAGTTATTACTTTTTATTATAATTCTTAACATATATATATA